GTTTGAAAGTAATATAATACTGCTAACTAGGCCGAACAGCTACTCTTGTTACATTTTTCAAATGAGATCATGATTTTCACTTCTCAATTTAAATTATTTTTATTGCTTTAAATGACTTTAAATCTCATTTGAGTGTTATCAAAAAGTGTTACTTTTTAAAAAATTAAAAATAGTCTAAAAAAACCTTAAAATGTCTAAAAATAGTAACTTTATGCCAAGAATGAAACTAAATAAGATCAAATGAAATCACTTTCTCATTTTTTTCAAGTCATGATTTCATTTTAAGATCTGATATATAGTCACTTTACATGTTTTTTTGATAGCCAGTCCCAGCGGGATTCACGCCAAGAAATGTATGAAATCAGACCAAATGAAATCAAACGTGAAATTCATGGTTTCAGCGGCTAGTCTATTCCAGACACGGTCACATGGTCAGTCTACTTATATCTGAGTTGAGAGTGAAATGAAAATGCTTAATCTCACAGTCAGTCACAGTGAAGAAAGCATATAACATTCTCATTGTATAGAAACAAGTAAGTCAATTATAACAGAAAATACTGTAATTGAGTATATCTCAGCAGAGAATGAGTAATCAGACTTCTATGACACAAGTCATACACTCAGATGTAATGAATCTAGATCTGAATGTTATTACTAAAGCACTGAATCCTCTGAAAAAGAAATTCTCTGAGTGAAAATCTTGATGTCATGAGTATCAAGCTTGCTTTAACTGCAGATATCAAAATCATGATGCAAAAGATTACACACAGTGTACACAGTTAAGAAAAGCAAGAGAGTCAAAAAACTAGCAGAATCAGTGAGCTCAGAGACACTCACTGATATTCTATGAAAAGTCTTCAAAGTGAAAGAGATGTCTGTGTTAGAGAATTCTCTAAATCCTGTGAATATCAAGAGAAAGCAGGCTCTCAAATGAGATGTGAGTGAGAATGATGAAGCAGATACTCATCTCAATACCTTGAGACCTGAAATGTTAATGTAT